GCAACTAAAACTGGGGCAAAGGAAGGTGTGGCTGTTAAGGAGAGTACAGCCACTAAAGAGATGCTAAGTACTTTACCTAGACACAATAGGAAAGATGGCTTGAGGGCACCTCAGGAATTAGCAAGCTCACACCCATCTCAGTCTCATAGCAAAAATTCCTTTGATAAGAGACAAAGGGGCACCCTGCTTGCACAGGGGTGCCTAGGATGTTGTTTCATTGTACTCAGCCACACAGTCACTCAGGCTATTACAGCCATGGTCCCAGGAGGCTTGACTACTGCTCGAGATGGTGGCAGATCTAGGTGTCGACCACATGGTGCTGGTTCATCAGGAATGTAAGATGTTGGAGTCAGGGGGTCATGGAAGCTTCCACCAAGACTTCAAAGGAATACCTGTGAGGCCAAAGTGTAGCAACATCAGAGTCCCTACAAGCTGTCCTTGAAAGAATGATGAGTGAAGCTCTAAAGGTGAAGCCAAAGCTGGAACTAAGACCCCAGAGTTAAGATTCCAATAATGTAGACTACAGAAGAAAGGTGCAGGAATCAGAGACAAACCAAGAGAGAGGCCATGTAGGCTGCAACCAGTAAGACCAGAGGGGCAGAGCTACTCAAGTCCTTTGGAAAGACTTCAAAATGCCATATACCCCAGAGGCTGGCTATTGAGCTATAGGACTTGCTTGCCCAGCTGGATTTTGATCTTGCTTTGATCTCATCCTTTCATTCTATGCCTCTCTCTTTTGGAATGAAAATATTTATTCTGTGTCATTAAACATTGGATGTTTGTAGCTTGCTTTTGATCTTTACTCTCACAGCTAGTCTGTGCTTTGAGTCTCAGATGAGATTTTGGACTTGGACTTTTGGGCAATACTAAACTGTTTAAACTAGGGGATTCTTGGAAATGGATTAAATGTATTTTACGTTGTGAGATAGACACAAGATTTGGGGGGCCAGGGGCAGAATGTTATAGTTTAGACATGAGGTGTCTCCAAAAGTTCATGTGTGAGACAACAAAAGAATGTTCAAAGGTGAAATGATTAGATTGTGAGTACTATAACCGAACAATACATTAATGTGATATGGATTAATTGGGTGGCAACTTGTGACTAGAGGAGGTAGGTCACTGGGGGTGTGCCTTTCAGGTATAGATTTTGTCCCTGGTTAACAGAGCGCTCTCTCTGCTTCCTGATTGCCATGTGCTGAACTGCTTTTCTCCACTACACCATTTTGCTATAATGTTCTGCCTCATTTCAGACCCATAGTTATGCAGTCCATGGATTGAACTGAAACTGTGAGTCAAAATAAACTAAGTTTTCTTTTTAGGGTTTTTCGTCATAGCAATGCAAAGCTGATGCAAAACAGGTAGTAAACTCAATGATGTGAATTCTGGTTGAACAATTCATATCTATGAATTGAACACCTAAATCTTTAGCCATGGTGGAATGCAATTGCTAATAGTCCTTCTACAGAAATATTAAAAAAGAAGCCAAGAATTACACAAAAAGTAATTTTGTTTTATAGCACCCATAGCTGCTGGTGCAGTGAAATTATGTCATTCTGCCATCACTCTGCCCTTAGCCATCCTGACTCATTCGTTCCATCAGTGTTCGCACTGAATTAACATAAATTCAAGACAAAAATCTCTCCATATCATCTAAGGAATATGGAATCATTTATTTTTGTTATGTAACTATTCCCTTATTATTCACTTTTACTAAAGTACACAATGCTCATTTAAAATGATAGCGGTTCTACTTATAGGAGAAACACTGAGACTCGATTCAACACAATGTTTCACAGCTCATACTAAGGAGGCCGTGCTGCCTACATTTGATCATCAGCTCTTACATTTATTAGTTTTATAATTTTTTGTTTGTGCCTCAGTTTCCTATTAGTAAAATGGGAATATTAACAGGACTGCATAGGACCACAGAGGGAATGAAATTAATGAATTCACATAAAGTGCTTAGCGTCATGTCCAGGGTATTCAACATCCTCACTAAATGTTAGCCATTGTTATTAGCTCTTATTTTAAATGAAATAAGAATTGACTTGCATGTAATTTGAATTTAAATACTAAATATCATATTAGATGACTTGATAGTGGTTGAGGAAATTTTTAGGGCGCTAAATAAGCATGTTACATATCATTGAGATCCAAGAAAATTTCAAGTCTGAAGTAGAGAAGCAAGTTGTTGGTTCTGGTTGTGACTGTGCCACCAACCAGCTGTGTGACTCGCTCAGGTCCCCCCTGCCTTTATGTGTTCTACTAGGGACTTTGCTCACATTCTCTGAAGCTCTTTCTGGTCTTTTATCCATCTGCAGGTCCTTGTATTCAATTTATTTGTTATTGCTTCTGTCAGCTAAGGAGTACTATTTACACAAATCTGAACATACTGCAAATATAAGTGATTTAACACATTTCCTCATGTGAACACTTTAATGAGACTTCCACTAAATAAGGCTGAGAAAAGTTCCAGTACTTTCCTAGGACTTCATAATACTGTGGTAGTGGGATATAGCCTTTCCTGGGATTGAATACAGGTGGGACTCCTAGTATTGTGGCTCTTATTTCTAATCCTGATAGTCTTATCTTAATATGATATCCCATAAATAGCCTTTTAGGAAAAAACAAAATTAGTGGCACATCATTTAAATAAGACTTTAAATACTGACTTTCTGTATAAGATTATCTGAACTTTTAAAAAACTTGTTTCATCTGAGATGAATAAAATGAAAACTCATGGAAAATGACAAAATTACGGTGTTTTATATACTGATTTATTTTAAAGCATAATATATATGTACAATATATATCACAAAGTACCTGATAAAAAATAGTTTGAAATACAATTTTAAGCTCCAAATAAAGTCTCTACTTAGGATAAATACACATATTATTAACCATAAAAGTATAGTTTTAAAGGCAGATTTCAGACCATTTAAGCCATACAATGGCTAATGCTTAAGGACTTTAAAAATGTATATTTATAAAAATGTGAGGAAATGCATCAAAACGTTTGGAAAATATATAAACATTTACCATATAATGCATTATACCTAGAAATGCTTAAATCTGATAATTTATAATATTACCTTACAAAATTATTATTATAAAGTATTCATTATACATTCTTTGTATAAACTCTGGTCAAAGTCTGCGACTCTTATTCAAATACAGACTTCACTAGGCCTGTATAATTTATATTACATTCAGATACATACATACATACATAGTACTTTTTCCCCGTGTGTAATGTCTCTTCATAAAAATATATTTGGGCTAAGAACAATCAGAGCATAGCAAAATGCTGCTTTAATTGTTTAATTAAATGTTGTGTATCCACATGATCAGGAAATGCTGCTTCAGACTTCTGAGCAGCAATATAACTTCTCTGTAGATCTCCAATCTGTAAAAAATGCCATAAGAAGAGCAGTATGAGACCAGAAAAAAAAATAAATATGGAAGGGGGCGGGGGAAGACATCCTGTCTGCATGCTGTAGAAACTCAAAGGGTCCTTAATAGCAAATTACTCACATATGCCACTTAAATTTTAGAACTCTCTCACCTGGATTATAATTCCATTTTGAGGAATTTGAGAAAGATAAAATAACCAATTATATAAATAATTTATGCTCCATTACAGCAATCTAGTTATGAATTCAGAAACCCTTGTTCCTTTCCCTGTCATTGATAGTACTATAAATATAAAATAACATTCGTATGCCCAAACAACCAGTTTTATATAGCTAAGGAAAAACTATAATGTACCACAAATACATATTTTCATTAGGGTATTATCTTTTAAATAGAAAATTCAAGTAAAAATTATTATATTTAAGACATAATAATATGCCTCTGAGAGGTTTTAAATAGTGCTAACAATAATATTGGCAAGATGTATGGTTTTAAAAGTTTACAAAAAAGAAAAAAGTTCATTTTCAATAAACTCTGTTAAAGTCCAGCCCAAAGAAAAACACAAAAATATGCTACTGGAATTTGTCTCAATGTATCGTGATACATGTATTCACCTCTAAAATGACAACTTTTGGATATAAGCACATGAAAAATCTAGATAGTTCAACTCTGGTAGTTTTGGGGGTAACATATATATGTATTAAAAAGGAACTGTTTCCTTTTAAAAATCATAACATTTCTTTCTAATATACTATTTTCTCTTACAGAAATATAGTCTTCTGTTTAAAGAAACACCTTGAGATGTGAATTATTACAATGCACTGATATTCCTGACAGCAAATAATCAAGTCTTCTCTGTGGCTTAATTAAGCAGCAGCACAGTGCAGTGAAATACCTGGGCACCACTGGAGCTGGGTGTGAATCTGAAACCTGCCACCTCATGTAACTGGGGGTAGGAGGCTCTTAACCTCCATGAGGCTTGGGCTGCATTAGAACATAAGCTTCATAGGATAAATTTACTCATTGCTACATCCTCTACTTCAATGACAGGGCCTGATAAATAGCAGAGGCTTTAATAAGTGAAACATTGGTTGCATGAGAAAATGAGTAAGTAAGGATACTGCACATAGGGGATGGGGGAATTTGAGAATTGTATGTAAAGCACCTTGAACAGTGGCTGGTAAACATCAATCACTCAAAACATTTCAACACATCAACGACAGCTTATTCTATTTTCAAAACAGAAATGAGTATGCATGGCTTCATATTTATATTATTAAAAAAACAAATATTTTTACATCTTTGGTCAATAAAGACTCTTATTTACATCACAAACATTTTTATCCATTTCCTCATTCTCAAGACTGATTTACCTTCCACATTAAAGGAGAGTAAGTAATAGGTAAGATATGCCTTTTGTTGGTTTTCATTTTATTAAAAATGGTACATAATTTCTTTTAGCTTTTGGATTTCACTGATTGCCAACACAGCTGCATTCTCCATATTGTCCATAATTAATATCTCTAATATTCCTAATTTTATAGCAATCATATCAGGACTTGGTGGCAATATGATTGACAAATAATATAAAAGAATTCCTTGCTGTAAAAGCCTTCTACAAATACCTCCCAAACTAAGAATTACTATGGTATTTCTTCAATGATTAAATATTACATTTTAAAGTATAAAAGATTTTATGCTTTAAAAAGCAATGCTTTAAAAAGCAATTTATAATGGTGTGTAGTCAATATCCAAAGAAAAATTAAAGCTTATTAAGTGAAGATGTTTGTGTATATAAATAAGAACTTAAAAAATTCATTTCTTCCAAACTGAAAAATCAATCTTCTGTTCAGGAACATAAGGTTATAATTTTCTTGTTTATTGTAATTTTTTTAAACCTAAAGTCAAGAAATATTGTATAACATAATAAATTAATAAAGAGAATACCTTATCAGATATTGTTGCAAAATTAAAATGGGGTTCATACATATGAGGTGCTAAAGTTGACGCAGTTTGCAAAAGTGCCCTTGCCTGTGAAAAAAAAGGAAAAAAAAGGCATATAAGCATACAGCAGTTCTGTATCTGTGATTTCTATTGGTAAAAGAAGCCTTTACTGGGATAGGACCTTAATAAACATGGTGCTGGAGAAATACAGATGTCATTCCTCATGAAATACAGAGACTTTTATTGAAATATAATTAACTACTGATGTCATACAAAATTATGTTAACAGTAAACTTTTCAAGAGAGAAAATAAGAGAACTGAAAATTTAGAGCAGATTTAAACCTATTTGAGAACCATTGTCTCATACCATTTCCATTTCAGTTTGACATACAACTTAAAATGTAATCTCAAGGCTTTAAAAAGTCTTCTCAATCCAGGTTTTGTTGGTGGTAACTGATTTAACAGGCTCCAAGTATCTGTACCCTAAGGCAATAACAACAACAAAAAGACCAAGAATCATAATGAATTTCAAAGCCCACAGCCTTGTGCTGGATGACAGTGAGTGAGCCTTTATGGTGCTGCTAACAAGTTTTCTAGCAATGAAAGATGATAAGCTTTCTGTTCTCTAAAGTATGCAAAACACAAGATTCACATTTTTTGTCCCTTACAGAATCACATATTGCAGAGAGCAGAGTGGCACATGATGCTCATACATGCATCGTTAACACTTATAAACCACTCAGTGACACTCTAACTTGTAGCTAAATCCAAAAACCCATATCCATGACCTGCCAACAAATTCATGTATTTTTTTAAATGGAAAATAAGAGGATATCAGTTCACATAGGGTGCTGGATAGTAATTTTCTAAATAATGAAGTGGGGTTAGTATAAAATCTTTTACCAGAACATTTCAAATTAATTGTATCCTTGAGAAAATACAGTAAGTAGGAAGGAAAGACAATGACCAAGATGGGGGCAGAGACAATCACAGGAAGTACTTGCCTAACATGAACATGGGCCAAGTTCCAATAGAAAGCGTGCCACTTGAGAATAATGCTTATAAAATACAAATCCATCTTGTTTATTTTGGGAGCATTTATGAAATAATGCTTCAGTCCTTGGTATTTTTGTCATTGTGCTCTGAAGAGCAGGTTTGTGTCCCACGTTTACAGCTCATCATGTCTGTGACCTGAGTAAAGTTACTTACACTCAAATCTCTATGTCCTCCTCTCTAAAGTGGTGGAGTAAGATTTACCCTTAATAACCATGAATATTGTAGGAGTATATTTTGCATTGTAAACTTTTTTATATATGTAAATAATAGTTCAACTGATTAAGCACAGATCACGTGCTCAAATCCACCCACCACTGTGCCAAGTGCTTTATATGCATGATCTAATCATCACAGAAGCACCTTTGGGTAGGCATTATTATTACTTTACTTTTAAAGATCATCCATTTGTTTCACAAATACTGACTAAGCACACAACAGGGGCTGGGCATTTCCTAATGCTGAGAACACACCAGTGACTCATCAGGTAGGGTTCCTCTTTCATGCAGTCTACATTCTACATGTAAAGTAGGACAGTATCTGGTGTAATGAGAAGCACTGTGAAGTAAAAAATGAAAAGTAGGAAATATTCTAGCCCCCGAGGGTTCCTTTCGATGGTGTTTGAGATGGCCTTTCTAAGGAAGTGGCATTTAAGACCTGAGTGACAAAAAGAAATGTCACTGTAAGACCTAAGGGAAGAACATTCCAGAGGCCCTAAAAGAAGACAGAGCATTGCATATCTGCAGAACATCGAGGCAGCCAACATGCCTGGAAGTTAGTGGAAAAGGAGAGGCCAAGGACATGGTCTGAGAGAAGGCAGAGGCCAGTTTATGTGGAGTCTCACAGGTTCAGATTAGCAAGCCAGATTTTTTTTTTTTCCAAATTCAGGAGAAATAACTGGAGAATCTTATGCAAAAAAGTAGTAATAAAATAATATTGTTTAATAAAAAATCATGTGGGCTGCTCTGACGAGGATGAATCATAGGGTACATTTACTTGCTGATGTAAGTGGGGGAAAAGACCAGCCAGGAGGCTCTTGTAGTTGTCCTGGCAAGAGATGGCAGCAGGGTGGGGAACAGAAGCCAGGTTCAGGATGGGACTTTTAGGCAGGACTGACAGGACCTGCTGAATATGATGTGGGTGTGAGGGGGCACAAGGAAGAAAAGAGGTGTCAAGGTTGGCTCCCAGGATTCGGACAGGAACAGCTAGATGGTGGGTCAGGGTGGTGAATCATAGAACAGTTCACTAACACAGGGAAGACCATGAAGGGACATGTTGTCCTAATAAAATGAAATGATCTATTTTGGACTCAGAAAGGAAGTAACTTGCCCAGGGTCACACAGCTAATACATGAGAGAGCTGAAATTCAAATCCAGGCCTACTAGACTCTAGAGTTCATTTTAAAATTACATAATAATAGCCACAAATGATGGCTGTTCTGTGAAGAAAGCAGACTGACTGTCGCTCCCTGACCTGTTCAACATGGCCCTTCCGCATCTCCAGCACAGCCAGGTTGTTGTAGGCCTCAGCATGGTTGTTGTTGTTGACCAGAGCCAGCCTGAAGCACTGATGGGCCAAATTCGTATCACCTATTCCCTGGAAAGAGAAGCACACGTTCACATGTCTGAGTACACATGCTTCCTCTTGCCACCTTCTCCCTTTCTTCCTCTATAAATCTTCCCCAAGACATAGAAAAAACAACACACACTGATCAGAGGGGTCACATGTAAATTCTGTGTAAGTGGAAAATGAGCTATAGTGACTTCCAGAAATCTCTCAAATTCTACATGAGACCATCATCACACTTAGATTTATAATAAACACCTGAAAATTTCTTCAAACTAACTCATGCCTACACTTTTTATTACAGAAATTGTATCAAAAGACAACCTACCACAGCTATATGTCCCAAGTTGTACCAGACGTCAGCTGTCTCTTCTTCATTTTCAGCCAAAGAAAGGGCACGTTCAAATGAGGTCAGAGTCATATCATACTGCTGGGCATAGAAGCAGCACAGCCCCAGATTGTTAAAAAGCTGGCAATTATAAACGCCCATCTGCAGGAGTCGCCTTTTCAAACAGCACAAAGAAAAGTTGTGTCACACCAAATTTATCAATGCTAAGACTTCTTTTACAAAGTTAGAAATGAATTAACCTTATAACTAGTAATACCCCCACAAAGATTAGAAATGAAAGGTATTATTGTAAGTGAAAAATAATGTTTAAAACAAATATAAAAGCACAGCTTTCATAATAGTTAAAACGACTTCTCTCTCTGTATTTTTCCCCAAAAGCTTTGTTAGAGAACAAAAATAAGAAATAAATAGCCACATAAAGTAAAACCCACACATCTTTATAGAGCCTTGTTACCCACCAGCATTCACAAGACCTTCTAATCTAATTTGGAGACTATATTTTACCTCTAAGTTTTCAGTGTTGCATCCTATTTTTGGCCATCTGTATTTCATGGTTAAACTGGGCTCACTGACTTCCACTGAGGAAGCCATGACCATCAACAGACCACTACATTATCCACTTAGCTTTTCCACCGCAATTCAAGAACCCCATTTTGACTCTAGGCATTAAAAATCCTAAGTGAGAAAGGATAAGAAAATTCAAAGAAGCAAATGAACATCCAGTCCAGCTGCCCTGAGAAACCCATGACCCATTTTGAGGGTAGGGAGTTGGGTCAGCTGCACATGCACCGTGCAGCATGTGTATATTTTATGTTCTCAACATGTATTTGGAAAGAACCTTTGGCAGCTGCCAGTCATCTCTCCTTCATATTACCCAAGGGCTGAAGTCATAATTTAAAAATGAATTGTAGGCTGTGCACAGTGGCAGACGCCCATAATCCCAGTGGCTCGGGAGACTAAGGCAGGAGGATCATGAATTCAAAGCCAGCCTCAGCAACTTAGTGAGGCCCTAAGCAACTCAACAAGACTCTGTCTCTAAATAAAAAATATAAAAATGGACTGGGGGTGTGGCTCAGTGGTTAAGTGCCCTTGAGTTCAATCCCTGGCACATATACACAAAAGAATTTTAGATGTCACATATAGGATAAAATAAGTATTAACTCAAAAGAGAACCAGTAGCATATTTTACTTAGACTTCGGAAAAAAATACTTGAAAAACAAATTGATAACATTTCACAAGCAGATGATTCTGTTTCAGGTCCTCATCAAGGTTCAGAACACGGAGTCCACTGTTCCTTGCAAATTTCTTCACTGTTTCTACTCTCCATATCTTTGTGATTCAGTGGTATTCACGGATGCAGTGATGATGAGAAGCATTTTAAGTAATTTAAATGCTATTGTTTGTTGATGAAATGGCTAACTTATACAGTGAGTCAAAAACACAATCATCTAGGTACGGTTCTTCAAAGTGCCAACATCTGAGCATTTTCAAATTATTGATTTTCCCTTTAATGCTCATAAAGCATCTGAGTAATGGAATTTTTAGATTTATATACACATTATAGTTCATTTATCTTCATTACTGTTTTGCCAATATTTCATGAAAGTAGTTCTACAGATTGAATGTAAAGCATACCTGTAAAACCGAAGAGCTATTTCTGGTTGATCAGAATAAAAGTGGTTGCTTCCAATGCAAGCAATGGCTTCCATGTGAGTATTATCTTGTTTTAAAACCTCTTTGTAGTATTCAGCTGCTGATGAACCATTGTTCATTTCCTGCTCAAGACAGAAGAGCAATACTGTATTAATATTGGACAAGAAATTTTTTGTCTCATCAATTTAAGTTTATTCATTCAGCAAACATTTACTGAGAGTCTGTCATGTGCTAGACTCTATTCTAAGCCCTAGGGACATGACAGGAATAAAAGATCAAGTCGGGCTGAGGTTGTGGCTCAGTAGTAGAGTGCTCGCCTAGCATGTGAGAGGCCCTGGATTCAATCCTCAGCACTACATAAAAATATATAAATAAATAAATAAATAAAATAAAGGTATTGTTTCTAGATACAACTAAAAAATAAAATATTTTTTTTAAAAAAAGATAAAGTCAATGTCCTTAAGGAGTTTACAGCTGGTAGAGAAGACAAACAAATAGATATATAATGTCAGGTGAGGATGAGTGATATGAGGAAAAACAAAACAGGGCAGGACTGAGGGAGGAAGGGAGGGAGGGAAGGAGGGAGGGTCATGCTTCAGAAGGGTGATCATCTTGAAGGAGAGGCTATTTGAACAGAGACCTAATAAAGTGAGGGTTTGGACCTGAGCACACCTGGGTGAAGCTCACTCAGGCAGAGAAACTAGCAAATATATGCTGCTGAGAGGGAGGCACTTAGAAAAACCACACAAATGCAGTGAGGCTGGAAAGAGGGAGAGCAGCACAGGAGACTAGAGAGGCTGTCAGGGCCTTTGTCAGGCATGGGAGGAGCTTCAGATGTTTTTCCTTCTAAATTGAGAGAAAGTTATTAGAGAATTAAAAGCAGAGGAGTGACATAATCATACTGTATTCACATTTTTAAAGAATAATTTGCCTGGTAAGCACAGGACAAATCCAAATAGGGAAGAGCAGCAGCAAGGAGACCAAGAATTCAGGAAAGAAATGATGGCAAACCAAAGTTCAGAAATACATATACAATTAAAGCTGAAGCCATCTTCTACAGTTTTTATATATGCTTTCTAAATACTGATAATCATAAATGCATTTATTATTATTAGAATCATCATCATCATCATCATCATTTGTGAGATGGGGCCCAGGCTGGGCTGAGCTAATCTAGTATTATCAATGAATGCTACATATCTCAAATACACTCTCAAGGTCTAGTTCAGGTTCCACACCCTTCATTAAGATTAATTATGGTGTGCCCTCACTGCACAGGGCTCTCTTCCGCCTTTCAACTTACATGACATTTATCATGACTTATGCACTTATTCTTATTAGGATTCAATTTTTGTGAGATTTTAATCATATTTTATCAAATCTAAGCGAGTCCACCAATTCTAAGCAGCATCATACGATGCTTCTTTAAACGTAAGAATTTTTATTTGATACTCATTTTGACATTTTATTTGATACTCAGACCTAAACTGTATCCCCATATCATTCTTTTGCCTTCTTTATATGAAGTAGATATGCAAAGTAAGTTGGACGTAGTATTTCCTCATGTTCAGAGTCAGTCTTCTGACTCCCTTTCTGATCTGGTCATCCAGGCCCAGGATTTTCCACACAGTGTCTCACACTGGCAATACAGCTTTTCTTTCTTTTTTAAATTTTATTTTTACTGATGATTAATAATTGTGTGTTTATATGGGGTACAATGTGATCCTTTGATACGTGTATGCATTATGGAATGTACAAATCAGGCTAATTAACATATATGCATCATCTCATCTCCTCATTTCTTTGTGCATAGAACATTTAAAAGCTACTCGAAACATTTCTTAAAAGTGTGCCCCACTATGTCCCCAAGATTTTCTTCCAGGCTATGGACCCTCATTTTGCTGTACTGATGCCTGTGCTTTCTTGATCTTACCAGCAGGTGTCAACAAGAGCTTTCAGGCAACAAGTAGAAACAATTACCATGTTCACCAATTACCACGTTCACTATGATGCTGCCAAGAATAACTATCAAGTTCCCATATAAGCAGACTGTGACAACTACATGACAACTGCCACTTGGCCACAAACCATTAGAAGATGCTACCTACTCTAAGAGGCACCCCAATCTCAGAGATGTCAAAATGTGGAAAATATATGTTCTTTAGAATCTATAAAATTTGATAATTTCTTTGCAACCAAGACCATGTGGTGTACCTTTTCCTTAGTGCTAAATTTAGTGCTTCTAGATACTGGAAAATTAATAAATCATAATTAAACAACTTCCAAAATTGTCCGAATTTCTCATGTTTCCACAATAACAGAGGTTCTCAAACTTTTTGATCTTAAGATCCCTTCAAAGTCTTAAAAGTTGCTAGGAATCCCAAAATTTTGTTTATGAAGGTTATATTTGAAATGGAGAAAAAAAAGGTTACATTTGAAAATATTTATTAATTCATTCCATATAATATGTAATAAAACTATTAATATTCTTACAAAAATAATGGACTCTCCTGAATGGAGAAGGTTTGTAGGTTGTCCAATCACGTCTCCATACATGATAGATTTGCCAAACTGAGAGAGACTATTAAGTCCTTTGGTCAGAGATCTAATGCCACTCTGCCAATTCTGTTTTTATCAACAATAAAGTCAATGAATAAAGTTAACACCAAAAGTGAAAAAACAAGCTGCATATTAGAATGTATCAAATGATTCTGTTTATGGCTAAAACTTGTATAAACTGTATGTGTGCCTTTATATAAAGAAATAATTTTTCACTCTCAATGAAGTTAATGGTTTGTTTTCTATTTGTTTAAATCTCGTGGCTATCCCTCAGTTGGTTCTCAATTTGGAGGACTGATGGGCACAGAAATTAATGTATGTAATTTCAAGGAATTTTAGATTTGAAATTAGCAACTTCACATGTAGTTTTTCAATTAAATTTTATAAATATAAAATTGCCTATGCTAAATAAGTTTATATACTACAAAAGGGTACAAAATTAAAAGAAGCCCAAATCCTAGTTGACAGAAGCTGTTAATCGTTTCTTGAGTATCCTTTAAGAAATTTTGTTCATATAAAGACACATACAAAATCATTCTGTAGATTCCAATACACAGTTTAAATTAGTGTCGTGGCACTCTTTCTATATCAAAACATAGAAATTCACTTTATTACATTTTATATAAAGTAGATACTCTGTACAATACTCCATCAATACATACACCATAATTTATTTAACCAGTCCCCTTTTGATGAACCTTAGTTTATTTCCATTTCCCTTTAGAATACTTACATACTTGACTGATGGACAAAAATTAGTTTATGCAATTAATATTCTATAAAATCATTTGTATATATCTTTGTGTGCCTGTATGAAGAGACTCTTAAGCAAAATTCCTGGAAGTAAAATTGCCCATGCACTTTTTAAAGTGTCATGGCAGTTGCAAACAGCCTCCTAATGGGCTGTATCAAAGTACACTCCCACCAGCAATGCTCATGTGTGGAGCCTGTTCTCCACACCCTTGACACCACAGAACTTCTTCATCTCTGCCAACCCAATTAAGCGAAATACAGCATATCACTGTTGTTTTAGTCTTTATTTCTTTAATTATGACAGAGGTTAGAAATTGAACACATCAGATATTTCTTTTTCTATGAGTTTCCAATTTACTTCCTTTGCCTGTTTTCTATGCTATCCTATCTTTTATCTTGTTATCAGTGGCATTTTATGCAGATATAACAGAATACCACCGACTGGTAATTTTAATGAACAGAAATTTATTTGGCTCTTGGTTCTGCAAGCTGAGAAGTCCCAAATCAAGGCTCCACATCTGGTGAGGGCTTTCTTGCTGCATCATAACATGGCAGAAGGCATCACAATGGGGCAGCATGGAGTGGTAGGGACCAGGCAGTCAGACAAAGGCCAAACTCATTCTTTTATCAGGAACCTACTTACAACAATAGCAATTAATCCATTCTTGAGGACATCCATCTTTGCCTAGTCACTTCTTAAAAGCCTCACCTCTCCACTGTTGTATGGGATTGTTTCTAACAAACTTTGAGGGGACACATTCAAACCTACAGTAGTACATGAGGGGGTTGGGTAGGAAACTGCCTGGATCTGGAGGCAGACATATGGCTCAAGGATCCCTGGGCACCAACTTTGCTTTCTCATTCCAGGTGACATGAGCCCATGCTGATATTGGCTTTAGTTCAAAAACCAGAAAAGTCCTGACTTCATAAACACACATGGAACATACATGGATCAATTAAGTTCCTCCAGATGGATATCATCAAGCTCTAAGTATGAAAAGCTATTGGTGTAGTCAAAATGAAGCTAGAAGGGCTGGGGGCATAGTTTAGTGGTACTGTACTTGCCTAGCATGTTTGAAGTCCTGAGTTTGATCCCCAGCATCACAGGGGTGGGGGTGTGCAGGGTACATTGGGGGAGCTGGAGCTTGGCTGTTGTCTCATCTCTGGGAGGTGATTTCTCATCTTTAGGAAGGCTGACAAGAAAACAAAAGCCTATGGAAGAGCCACAAGATACATTGATCCAAAACTTCTCTGAGGAAGCATCTACTTTCCATAGTGTTTACATTCTTGATTAAATAAGCATATATGAGGGCATGTGTATGGACCTTTATTTATATGTGTATGAGATTTGTAAAAAGGTAAAATAAAACCAAAGTTTGGCTTTATTTAACTTTTTGTTTTTGCTATTTAGTAAACTTAACTTTTATTTTCTCAAACTTATCAGTCTCTCCTAATTAAGTCTTTCTGATTGTCATGTTTAAAAAACTCCCTCATTCCAACTTATACAAATAATGCATCTGTTTTTTCTTTTGGAACTTTCACAGTTTCACTTTTTGAAATTTTAACTTTTTCTTCCTGTTGTTTGCTTTGTTTCATTTCGTTGTTGTTGTTGTTGTTGTTGTTTGTTGGTTGGTTGGTACTGGGGATTGAATCAGGAGTGCCCTATCACTGAATTACATTCCTAATCCTTTTTCAAATTTATTTAAAATTTTTTAACTCACTAAGTTGCTCAGGATGGGCAGGAGCTTAAGATTTCTTGCATCAGCCTCCCAAATTGCTGGGATTACACCCACACACCACCCACACACTTAGAAGTAGTAATGGATTTTTTTAGTAAAAGAAATCATTACTCGTCCACTGTAATTTTAAACTATTTAATAATCCAATAATCCACCTGGCTTCTTAGGCAATATTTATCACATCTTTAATTTTCACATGTATGAATAAATACAGACTATTTTGGTCCATTAACTTATTCCTGTATCAGAATTGTTTAAATTACACCAGATTTCATTAAGGTAGATTTAAAAATAACATTTTTAAGTATGTAAATGTTACTTCAAGTAAATGAGAAACTTAATACAATCTCAGTGGTTTTCTAGCAGTTATTTTTGAACCAATTCACAAAACACTATCTATCTATACTTAGGTCTTAATTATTTAAAGTGAAATTGCAAATAAGGAAATAAATGTTGCTCTGCTTCTCAAACTCTGTTATGCCTCAGAATCCCCCTAAGGAGCCTGTTAAAAATACAAATAAATACCTGAGTCTCCCTTTCCAGGACTTCTGATTAGTAGGAAGAGGATGGGTTGAACTTCTTACACATTCCCAGGTTAATTTTCACCCACAGTGAAGTTCAGAAAGCCACCAGAATAACCTTTTAAGAATTAGGTTTCTAATCTCAAACCCCTTTCAATAAAGAACAACTAAAATAAGGGCTGGTCTCTCAAACAAAATGCCTCAAGAAAAATTAAAACCACCAAAAAACAATTTAGCAAAGAGAAATCAATTTTTAACAGTATCTGTACAAAACAAGCAGTGAACCGAAGGCAGTACAACATGTTCATTTTAAAACAGGCAACATTTAAAAGATATAATACCAACATGAAAGTGGTAAATAAAAAAGAAGTGAACATAACGGAAGAGAATTCCCTCCAGAGAATAGCAAGACGCACATAATAAAAGTCCCTAAAGGCACTTGCAGTGTAGGTCACAAGACTACGGAACAAACTCCACTAACAAACTCCACTAATTAACTCTAAATCCATCCTCATGTAAGAGAAAAGAATCTGCTGGAAATCTGCCTTTGGTGTAGTCAGCTTCAGCAGAAAGGAAATGAACTGTGCACATCCAAGGGAAAATACTGCACCCAACTATTTCACATCTGTGCTTAGCCCTTGATCACCCTACCTACAGGACAATATATTGTCCCTGCAGTTAGGATGCTTCCCTTTCTAATTCCTTTTTCCTGAAGTTTAAACTCAACTCAGAACAGCAAAAGAAAGAGGCAGCTGATAAAGACTGCCCCAGAGCCACTCCCTATCCCAGCCATAGCAACAGTCACTATGACAGGCTTGGGAGAAATTCTTCTGAACAGCAACCACATGTTAAAGATGCAATTGTCCTGAAGCCCTTTCTGCTAGCACTCACTTTCTAAAAAGCAAGGTGTGAAAAAGGACTGAGAAGTACAAAAGGCAAAGCCAAAAGGTCCAAGGGTGCCAATGGCATCGGGAAATCACCAATGGAAGCAGCATGAATTTCACTGATTTCAAAAACTGATTCCATTTTATATCTTTTCTAAGCTTCTTGGTCAAAGCTTTGTTCATATTCAATAACTAAACAAAAATATTGATACAAGTATTTATATTGACTGATCCAAATCTTCTGTGTATCTATCTATCAAAATTATATCTATCAAAATTATACTTCAAAAGGAAAATACATTTTATTGGTAATTAAAAACAATATTTTTCATTTAAAAAGTAAAGTACACAATCATGGAAAATTTGGAAAGCATAAAAAAGAAATAAATGTCAATCCTACACTATAACCCAGATATACCAACTATTACAACCTACAACTCTTTTTTAGAAAAATTTTAAAATCTCATACCTAGCATTTTCTAGAAATGTAAAGAGAACTGAGGTGCATCTGTTCAGTATTGTACTGGAAGTTCTAAACATAATGATATATTTTTTAAAAGCAATAAGAATAACTGAAGAAACAAAACTGTATTTGCACACAATGATTAGTTTATTTACTTAGAATATCAAAGAGAATCTATGGACAAGGTCATAAAATTTAAATAGTAGAATCAAATCAACTTTTAAGAAGTAATACATTCACCAGAAATAATCAAATAGAAACTATAAGAGAAAAAAATAGGGACTCCATTCACAGTTATACCTGGGAATACATCTGTACACAAAAGCCCTGAATCTGCTATCCTTGGAAAGGCTCATGCCTAGGAACTCACTTGGTTCCCTACATCAGTATAAACTTTCTCCACATAACATGAGCAGTTTGCTACACCCAAACTCTTGGTACAAGCAGTATGGTTTTTGCCGAATACCTGTTTACTTGTGGGAGTCTGGAACTCTGATTCTTGGTAGGCAGAAGTGTCTAAAAGATCAGTGCCCAACAGTAACATCATATACAGTCTCTTGTGTGCTTCCCTGCCATACAACATTTCTCAGAGTTATCACAGCTTACTACAAGAGGTGTCACCTGTGTGACTCCACTGGGAGACTCTTAGAAGCTGGTAACCAGTCATCCTCTGAACTTTGCCCCATTCATCTTCCCTTTTACTGATTTTGCTTTTGTATTCTTTTGTTCTAGTAAATCATAGCTGTGAATATAATTGTTTGCTGAGTCCTGGGAACCCTAGGAAATCATTGAATCTCAGTATGGTTTGGGGGACCCCCGCAACAGCCTCTTTCAGGGGATAGTTACAAAAACTTCCTGAAAAAAAAAATACCAATGCTTGAGAAAGGAAGAAAGGCAACGTATCTGCCCAGCCTCCACATATTCAAAGTAATTCCAGTCAACATGCCTATAAGGTATTTTTATTGTTCTTGTAAGTCAACCTTAAAACCAATATGGACTAGCAAAGAGTCAAAAAAAAAAAACTGTGAAGAAGAAAAACAAGGTGGTAGAATTTACCAATCTGATTTTAAGAATTAGGATAAAGCTGTAATAATTAGGTAGCAGGGAAGATAACTAAGTGAAACTTACCATAGAATAAGACAAAAAGACTCTAAAATTTATAACAATAAGGAAAAGTACAAAGACATTTCTGATAAAGATGAACCCTACCAGATGGTCAGTATCATACAGATATAAAAATTAAGCTGATACCATATTGGTACAAAGATGGACAAATAGGCCAAAGGAAAAGAGTAGAAAGACCCAATGTACCCCCACCATAAATGGGAAAAAATTATATTTGAGGTTACAGATTTTGGGGAAAAACTGATAAATGAGGTGAAATGAGGTGTGGTCCACAAGGAAAATAATTTAAATCAGTATCATGTACCATTCTCTATACTCTTCTGTGAATCTAAAATGCCTCATAATAAAAACAGCTTGACTAAATGCAGACACTAAAATCTCTTATTCTACCAGTGAATCACAGGTCAACAATCAAAATTTTATAAACTGTTCTTCCTAACCCCTATTTAGTTAGCACATAACCTCAATTTTATATCAACTTTTAAAATACTACGAACCTTACCTCATAGATCCTGGCAATTCCACAAAGCAGGCTTACTTCTCCTGGAAACTTATCTAAGCCTTGTTTGAAAAGATTTAAAGCAGTCACAGGTTGATCCAATGAGATGTAAACCTAAAATCCAGATACATTTCAATAAAAGAATCAGCTCTTAAAATAAGAGTATTTGTATAGCAAGTTTATAATTATTCATTAGTGACAACTTATCTTCTAGATATTAAGTAAAAAATTTTTTCAGAATTTCCAATAATGACAGCTTTATCTCCACATGTTGTACATAAAACATTCATTCATTCATTTCTCCACCAAGTACTAATTATAGGCTTATTGTTGTTACAGGGACTGAGCAGTAACTAGACAGGAAAGGATCCAGGGGAGATCATTCTATTAGAACAGACACGAGCTTGGTCATAAGCTGGCATTAAGGAACTAATTAGGAGGCTGAAGTTAAAGACGCAAGGGAAGGAGCGGATGACCCATGAAGCAAGGCCTGAGGAAACAACAGTAGAGAGAGTGGTTTTTGAGAAGACTCTTCCAAAGTAGAAGGAGACAGGTTTGTGAGGCATGGGGTGAGGGGGTTGAGTAAGTTAGCACTTGAGGGTGTCCACTTATTAGCAATTAGACAATTAGCATAGAAACACCTATACTTAATAGGAATTTCTAAAATAGAAAATTATGTTTTTAAGTATAGAAATATAATATTTTAATATTTGTCTTCATGATTTTACATCCAGTTTTTCTTAATGGTTAGGCTGTGCTTTGAACAAGGCCTAAAACTATTCATAATGTTTATTGCTAAAGTATGAGTAGAGGGATGGATATGAATAAAAACTGTAAAATTTTTATCTTACAAACTTCTGAATGGATTTTTAAAATATGATAAACAATACAATTAATATACTAATATAAAATATTTGATAAGATCTATTTTGAGGCAGGGTTTTGATAAATTCTCCAGGCTAGCCTCAAATTTGTAATCCTCCCACCTTAATCTCCCAAGTAACTGGGATTACAGGCAAATGCCACCATACCCAGCTTTAATTTTTAACTGACAAAAACTTTTAAAAACAATGTTGTTCCTACAATCTGGTTGACTTCTATTGTATAGCAAGCATTCTTTCATATAGTAAAGAAAACTAGGTTTACTCCTTGATAGTCATACAGGCAATAATGAACTTAAATAAACATGTAAAAAAATAAATAAAACCATGTACTTAACTATAATTTTAAAAAGTTTTTTTCAATTATGTGGCCAACAATTGTCAGTTAAGAAGTTAAGAAGATGACAGTCAAATAGTATAATCTGAGCCTTAATTTCAAGCTCTTCTCCAGAAAAGTTTACTATGATGCTTAGAAAGTTCTTTAAGAATTTAATATAAAAGATATAGAAGATAAATTTAGATACCAAAGAGCTCCAAACATTTTTGAAAACTACTGTAAACATACTAAAATCAGAACAGCAAATTCATATAGTAGAACTTTCATTTTCTCTTTAGTGTGCTTTTATTATCATATTTAGGAACCAGGAGCACTCCCTTTTACTTCTTGGTTTAATAAATTTTATTTTTCAAATACACAGTTGGCAGTTGGTTGCCCTTTTTCAAGCGTCTTCACCAGCTGGAGAACTCCACCTTGGTATTTCTGGCATAAATTAACTCGGGCTCTGCGCTTTGAGACCAATTGGATGAGTCCTTTAACTGAGGCACTCCTGGCCAGGGAACCATGAATATTCAGTCTCTTAGAGACCACAGCTGGGCTTACAAGCTTATAGCTGGCAACTTCCTTACAGAATCTGAAGTTGTGTCAAACAAGACTAGGTTATTGAGCTTGTCCCAAACTTTGCCTTTGGACCACTTCTTTTTGGCCTCACCCTCAGATTAGTTCACTGGGTCTTTTTCTTGGCCAACTTTCTTCTTGTAGTCCTCGGTGGCATCCGAACCACCGTAGGCTGAGATATCATAAAAAAAGCTAGTGCTTCCTTTTGTAGCTTTTGAATCCTCTTTTCTGTACTTTTAATTTGAAAAATTCTTAAAGATAGAGCAAGATGTCATGACCACTACTATATCAAATGTTTTTCTTTCAAAGTAACCTTGATGAAGGTCAAGAAACTTTATCCCAGTATAATGTGAGTATACCTTAATTTGAAATGCTTGGGACCAGAAGTGTTTCAGATTTCAGATTTTTTTTTAATTTAGAATATATGCATAATGTGATGAGCTGTCTTCGCGACAGAACCCAAGTCTAAATGTGAAATTAATTATATTTCATCTATACCCTGTACACATAGCCCGAGGATAATTTTACACAGTATTTTTAGTGTACTTGGATTTTGACTGTAGTACATCACGGGATGTTAGGTATGCAGTTTTCTGCTTGTGATATTCAAAAAGTATCAGATTTTGAAGCACTTCAGATTTCAGATTTTCATATTAGGAATGCTCAACCTGTATTGAAAATTCTAGGTGGTCCTTCACTTCTGCTGTGACTATGAGGGGCACAGTGTAGTAGTGGGTAGCCTCTGGAGTTCAACAGACCTGGGTTTGAATACTGGCTGTTAATAGTCCAACAACTCTGAAAAACTTACCCTCTTGAAGTCTCTTTTTCCTTAGGAGTACAAAGGAAATTATAAAACCTATTTTGCAAGATTATTGTAAGAATTAAATTAAATTTCGTATACAATGAACTTAATCCATTGACTTGCACTGAGTAGGTAGGTGCTCAATAAAGGGGAAGTAAGATTTTTATTTTTACAGTAGAGCTGAGTAATTAAGCACCTACATAAAAGCAGTCCCTGTACTCTACAATCTGCTCAAGCATGAGACAAATGTGTCATAGAAAAGAGCCCTCTCTGGGGCCTGTTACACACGGGTGGTGAGCTTATGATATTTTCTTCCATTCTAATGAGCAATATTCCAAGGGGGTTATCTTATTTTTCATGGCGATCAGTTTCTCTTGAGGTAGTTACCCTCCATGTTATTTTTCCCTTGCTATAAAGAAAAACAAGTTAAATCTGAACATATTAACTTGCCAACTACTCCTGAAGGAACTGGCAACTCTTTCCATGCAATGGCCAGAATTTTGAAAAGAAAGATTTCACTCAATATTTACTTACTTTTGCCAAATAGAGAAATGTATCTACCATTTCCTGCTGCTTCAGAGAGGATTTAAACTGTTTTTCTGCTTCACGATACATTCCTAACCTAAAAACAGTCATTAAAAAAAAAAATCAAACATTCAACTTAAAAATAAATACTATATCATTTTTCAAACACTGAGGATATAAATAGAGACAAATTCCATCTATATGAGTAAACATACGCCAAAGAAAATAGTGTTGCACTCACACATACGTTAACAAGAATGTTAACAGAGTTTAGCAAAAAGTTGCCTGTTTCCCATACTCACTGGCTATCTAATTGCCAAATGGTGTGTAAAGAGTCTGTCTGCAGCCTAGTCGCAGCAGGACTAAGAGATGCCAGTAAGCCAGGTCATATCAGTTCACTGCCCAAAGAGCTTATGATCAGATGAACATATGGCAAGTGACCTGAATAAATGCTTAGAGTCTCCATTTTCCTGGAAGAACTGAAAGATGATATTCCTTTGAAAACATCTTCTGCTCTAAGATCAGAGCCCATTTTTCAGTTATCCTGAAACTATTTTAATTCAAGCAATAATTTCTACTTGAGAAATACAGCTACACCATTTTATTATTCTAGTAATCTTTTTTCCCCTTTATTAGGTATTTGACACTGATTGTCCCAGTCTATGAATCTGAGATTTGCTCCTTGTCTAAATGAGACTGTCCTGACACCAGTGGCCACTCCTCTGCCTGGGAAACATGTTATTACCACTAAATCAGCCACTAACACTCACTCAGCTTTCACTCAGCCTGTTATTAACAGAACTACTAAACTTTCTCATAACTACTCATTCTTAGCCACCTAAGAACTTAGAGATGATAATGTTTTATTTTGTGAAATAAAATCAAAATGATGCACAATATATTCCAATGTGCTACTTTCATTCAAAGGCTTGAAAGAAGAGCTTTGATCATTTTTCATAACCTAAACCGTAGGCATTGGTATGGCTGATACCCAAATAGCTGTTGGAAGATGGGATTAAAGGGATTAAAGGTGACCCCAAAAGGCTAGCCTAAAGTCAGAAGACACGCAATGTAGCAAAAAGCCTCTACCTCTCAAAGGTTCCACAAATTTCACAAAGAGTATGTATAAAATGCAATCAAAGTGCTCTGAATTCTGAAAAACAATGTAATTTAGAATATAACATCAACTGAGCATGCAAGTTCTAATCATGTGACTCAAGTACAGTCATTAAATTCTGTAAGCGCCAGTTATCCATGAGAGTCCACATATTTTTATGAAGATTTTATGATTTTAAAGGATTACAATAAATGATTTTAAAGGATTACAATAAACAGATACATGTAAAATAATAGGAAAACATAAATAGATTATTTTTAAGCAATAGAGATAGAAGGATAATCAAATTGAAAAACAAATAAATAGGGAACTAGAAATACTGAACTACATGGAAACCAAAGAAAGAAAATATATGGATCATTTTTTCATTACTGCACCCTTAAGAGATAATTTATACTAGAACTATCAGGAAGGAGTTTATTACATGGATTCTTGTGAAAAAAAAAAAAAGTGGAGTAGGCCATGCTCAAAGAAAGTCTAGGACTAATGAAAATACCAAGTTCATAAATCAGGCCAATATAAGAAAGTTACAGTCCAAAGAGATAGCTCCTTCCAGGGGCCAACCTCTTCTCTGATTTAATTCAACAAAATTGTCAAGCAACATCTGCATGCACATTTCAGAAAAGAGATGGAAAAATGAAGGAAATAAAACCAGGTTCTTAAAAGTAATGATAATCAAAGAGTAGTGGTAGGGAAACGTTTTTCTAGAAGTTAGTTAACTATGATGTAAGCACACAGGTGGGAAAGTACACAGTATGCTAAGGGAATATTGAGCAGTTGGTTTAATTGAGAAGGACACAATAATGGGAGTAATGAGAAACAGGGGCACACATGTAGACTGGGACCAAGATCATGATGCCACACTTCAAATTCAGAGTTCACTCTAGAAGTAACGAGCAGTTATTCAAGGAATCCAACAAGAGCTGTTTTTTCAAAAGAGTTACTCTCACTGGATTTAGGAAGGCCAGATGGGGCAAGAGCCTGGAGACAGACAACCCAGGAAAGAAGCTACAGTCAAGCAAATGACACTAAAGGCCAGAATTCAAGCACTCGCATGGGAATGAGTAGTAAGGGGGACTTTGAGAGCTACTGCAAAGGTAGAACCAGTATAGAACTTGATCAGGACAAGGGAGAGAAATCTATTTCAGACTTTATACCATAATCTATCCTTGGCCTCTCGGCCTGAAGTCAGAGGTCTGACTGGGCTCTCAGTGCATTCTACATTTGCTTCTCTCATAATAAGAACTATACTTATAACTATTAACTGTCTAAATCATTTGAAAGAAGAAACAATCTAATAAATCTTTGTGACCCCACTTAATGAGAGCAGTTTCTTATTAAATATTTTACAGAGTGAATGAATACCAAATACATAATAAAGATGAGCAAGTATTAAAGAACAGAGAACAATAATTTAATATGACAAGGTGTGCTCATTTAAATGCCAACATGAATGGGAGGCAGAAGAAATCAGAGTTGTGCTTTCCTTTAATTATTAAAGATTTCTGAAGGTTCTACTTAGAAGCTCAAGATTTCAAGAATGTCTTTAAGAACTGTATCCATAAGAGTTAAGTGTTTGGAAGGTCTAAATTACCTTTTGGCAGAAAGCACTTCTTCAACTAATAAAAGGAAAAAACACTTTAGAGTTCTGTGTGAGTTGCCTAAATGGAAAATAGTCTTAATTTCAAGAGCAGAACAATAAATCCTTTTTATTCCCTTTATATTCTTCTTTTCCCCATAGGTTTTAATGACAACTAAAGATTATAAATATTGCAGGGTATTCACAGTAACTGAACTCCACCTTGTTTTTGAACAAAAGAAGACATACTTACCTTTATGAAATACAATTGTTCATCTGTCTCTATTTACCCAAATGCTAATTGAATTTCAATATCAGCAACAAATGTTAGATTTTATTTATGAATCGATATGCAAATGTTTCATAAAATTAACTGTGGCTTTTCTGATCTCTCAGTTTGCTTTGAAACATTTGCACACTAAGAGAATGTAAAAATATTCAGGTTATACAGAAACAATATGGAATTGTGGAAATAGAAAATAGTCATCAAAAAGTAGATCAGAAATTTTTGCTCTACCACTTATTAGCTATATGAATTTAAACAAATTTCTCTCTTTGTGAGGCTCAATTTTTCTCATCTGAGAAAGTCACTAATTACATCAACTACTCAGAGTGCTGTGAAATTTAAGTGAGATGATATAACATACAAACAAAATCTTAACCACAAAGTGCCTTACAGATGGGAAGCATTAGTATAAATGAAAAGACTTAAGAGCCAAGAGATTAGGACCTGATTCAACAGGCTCAGTTCTAGCCCCAAACTAGTCCCTGATGAAAATCATAGCCACTCTCTGGCCTCAGCTTCCTCATTCAGAAAGGGAAGTTGGATCTGATGATCTCAAAGTCTGCCTCTCTCTGCTGTAGTTCTTATTGCTACTATGTGATTGTTAAGTAAATGCTTTCTCAAGTCAAGTTCTTATTTCTTCATGAGGAAATGTATCCAGAAAGGGGGTGTCAGATTTGACATTCAAAAACATATTGCCACTTCTAACCCTTCACAGATAATCGAAATTTTACCTGCAGTAACATTTCCCAATCTGCACCTTCCACCACCAGTCCTTGTACTGAGAATGCTCTGTGGAAAGGGCAGCCAGATCCAAAGCCTTTGAAAACAATTCATTTTACATTAGAATTTTATTTTCTGACAAAAAACAGAAAGATAAATAATGAAATAAACCATATAATTATAAGCAATCAAAACACGCATTAGAAGTCAGACAGTTGCTCATGTTTCCAGATGGCTCCACCAATTTTCCCTAAATAATCAGTTCCAGATCAGAAGGCTAACAGCAGATGAGTTAGAAACACTGATCAAAGGGAAGCAGATGTACAGTATATTGGGATACAATTTGAATATACAAGCCACAAAATTGATACTAAAAACTCCATAAGTTTTTACCCTTTCCCCACTATTTTCTGTCTAATAATTCAAAATGCCTCCAAACATAGTGGCAATCAACACTTTGGTATATCAGACTGGTGCAATCACTGTCTGCAATTTAAAGACAGATGTAGAGAAATAGAGAAAGACCAAGTAAGCAGCTAGAAAGTTTGGAGAATGGAATTATGAAGAAGACTAAAAGGAGTTAATGGGAGTAACCACTACCTTCAATAACCATTATTCCATTATTCTGATATCATCTTAGCTTCTAGCAATTCTAAAGGTCAAACTTCTCTTTGCTGCAAACTGAGGAAGATCTCCTCCTTAACTACCTTCACCATTTACCTCTGTTTATCCCACATCATTAATGTCCTCTAGATTGGTCTCTTCCACTACTCAAGGTCAAACAAGAGATGACCAAATAAGAATTAGGTTTTTATTCAGATAAAGTGGAAACCATTTTGACCAAGAGGAAACAAAATAGTCTTTATACATATTTTATAACTCAGAAGTTTGAAGCCAATGGGCTGGATTTGTAGCTCAGTGGTAGAGCACTTGTCTTGCACATGTAAGCACAGGGTTCAATACTCAGCACCACATAAAAATAAATAAATAAAATAAAGACACTGTGTCCATGTACAACTAACAAAAAAAAAATTAAAGAGAAAAATTTGAAGACCATACAAAGATTTTGTGACTAGAAGATGGAGTTATTAAATGAAAATTCTGATTTTTTTAATCTTATTCTCTCAAGGTTGAATTTTTTTATTCTGTAGCTAGTGTTAATATAACAATAATATCCAACAACTCAGTTAAACTTACTCTTAGATTTTTCAGTTGTTATCTCAAAATGTTTGCCTTATTACCAAACACTTCTTAATATTAACTCTTTTCTAAAATGAATGCCAGAAGAGTGCCCTCAATCTCCTACTGCAAAATTAATTACTTTCCCATGTGTTCTTTATCTTTTCTTGCTCCAGGGGAGATCTCTAAATATACAAACCACTTACAAAGAAATGTTGTTGACATGCTGAGCCCCTAATGGACTTGAAAAAAATCAACACATTCACTTGAAAGCTATGGAAATTAAAAATAAATTACATACTACTTTCATATGCTTATTTTTCTGCCCCTCCCCTAAATAAAAATGAAGGGATAAGTATAACTTCAATTAGCATTATCCTTGGAACTACTAGGAAAATATATTTTAAATCAGTTCAAATCAGTCATGCATTGAATTTTAATTCAATCTTTATAAAGACCTTTTCCATCAAACAGTCATGTTCACTATCATATTTAATATAAACAGAACTTCTATTTTTAGCAAAAGATGTTATTCAAAAAATGTTTACATATCCCAAGGCTGGATTTAGAGCTTGTAACAACAGGCTCCTGATTTTGCATTCAAATATGGTCCTGAAACAAGTCATCTCATGGAAGACCAATGTGTTTGTGCTGATTCAATTAAGCAAAAACATAAATTATTGATTCAGAATAAAAATGGGTTTAAAATTAATTTTAATCATCATACTTCACATGAAAAATCAGGCTGCATTAGAGAAAACATCTGTGGCAATTTCAGATGGACCCTAAGCTCCCTATGGAGAAACACCTTTCTTTTACATCTCTGTTGTGTTTTGGAATGTCACTGTGTTCACAATAGGCACTCAAGAATTATTTGTTGAAAATAGCTTAAGAACCAAACAAAATTGTCATAGTAAAAGATTCATAATTAAAAGCTACTAGCATTAAACTTTTAAAGTGGCAACAGAAGACCTATATTTTTAGAGCCTTTCCCAATTTCTACAAACGATTAACTACATTTACATTTTAAAATATTTGAATAATTTAATAAAACTAATATCTATATGTTAACAAAGAACTAGCCTGTTATTTTTAAGTCATAGGTTTATAAATCTCTAACTATACAAGGAACCTTGGTAGAGCTAGATGAGGTTTGTGAATATGTGCAACCTGTAAAATTTTAAAAGTCATCCTTTTACTATCAGTATGCTTCTGACAACTTCAGGATGATGAAATTAAAGAGCAAATGGAAATAAAGATTTCAGAATCATCAACCCATATGCCATTTTAGATTTGTCAATACGGCCAATATTGGCCAAAAAGAGAATAGGGAAAGAGAGTAATTAAAAACTCAAAGGCAGAAATACATTTTTTGTATTTTACTTTTTATTAATATTTAAATACCACTTTGAGGATTCTCTATAGGTATATATAGCATTCTCACTGTATGTGTTTACATAAATACAGAATCACCAAAACACATGTCACTTTAGTTTTGTCCATAGTGCCCCTGCCAAATAAGAAAGTACCAAGAGCTCAAGACAAATTTAGGTTTGATTAAAGATCAAAGATTTTATTAATAAAGGTTATTATTTATTATATTTCAATATCACTTCACAGTATTATTTATATTTATCTATAATGATGAATGTGAAATACTTTATTTTAAAAAATTGGAGGCTATCCAAGTAACAAACATAAAAGCACTCCTGATTTCTTAAGCACATTAAGAAAAAAAATTTCTTTTTTCTTTTTCCAGTTCATGCTGCAAAATACATGGGGGAAAAGCATGCTTTGTGCTCATTATCTAAATCCTTCTTCCATTCAGAAAATAACATTTGTGGTAAAATCTAAAAATGACATTTTAATGGAACAAGCTGATCCACAAGAGCACTATAATGTGGCAAGCCAGTGAGAGAGTAAGAGAATAGCCACAGGCATCGGTCCTGCTCAGAACTCCCAGCACCAGTCATAGGATCAACTAGTAGGCACTCAGTAATTATTTGTTTAAAGAATAAGTCAATTAGTTAATAACTCAGTAAATGAATTGTGAATAAAAAGGAAAACAGAGGAATCAACAGTTTGTGCTTTTCACTAAGAAAAAACAAAACAAATTGTTTCATTAGATGTGCCATGATATAGTTACTAGGGGAAAGAAGATGAAAACAATTATTTTAATTTATTCTTGTCCCTAATTTATAGTTTAATTTATGTATAAAAAGTTATAACATTATTGTTAAATTTGGGAGGGGGAAAAAAGATAAAATTAGACTCACTCTCCCTTAGTGTCATGAGGAGCAGCTATTTCCTTCACTATTGTCATCAAGGTGCTGATGCAATGAGGGAATGTGACAAATATTTGAGGCATGAATACATCTTAATCTAATAGTACCACTATTTTCATTTTAAAGTATATATATTATATGTGTGTGTGTGTCTCTATATATATATGTATATAGAGACATATATAGAGAGAGACATATATATATAAACTTACCAATATATATACACATATTGGTAAGTTTATATAATTCATATCAGTATGTATTTATATATACACGTGTGTGTGTGTGTGTGTGTGTGTATCAGTAAGTGTTTTTACTTTGCAGTTGTTTCACAAATCCAACTTAGTCTATGAAATATTCTATTGTTTGGTAGTTTAAAATTTTTCACTTCCTTACTTATCAAATGTCTAAAAGGAATTCTCTATACAAATTTTCTTAATATTGTCATTTAATGAATTATAGAGAGCTATCACCAAAAAAAAGTCAAAAATTGTGTTTGGCACTGCTTGTTTCTAATATACTGAGTCCTTCATTATTTCTAAAAATAAAAATAAAAAATTATAAATGGGAATTTCCAGTTCACAGTAGTATTTTGTACCATTTCTTTGTTACTTAGATATACTTGAAGGCATTATTGTTTCTTCTTTTCTATTAATTCGCTGATTTCTTTCATTGGGCTGGACACGCCTCCTCTTGTTATGTGGAACTTTGGCCTTCAAGGTCTGCTAAGCCTCCTTGTTGTAGGACCCCCACTACATCCTCAGCTCCATTTTCCTACATTAGAAGAAATACTTTCTAATGTTTCTATAGTTTTTAAATTGTACTCTATAGCAAGTAGTTCCTAATCTTGACTGAAAGTTATTACTGCCAATGGAGTTCTTAATAACAACAGATTCACCAGATGTCCCCTTGAGGATTCTGATTCAGGAAGTCTAACATAGAGACAGAAACCCATTATTTTAAAATTCTCCAGTTACTTCAGACAATGAGCCTTATTTAGCATAACAGGCCTAAGGTTTGAAGGGCTCTTGGGATAGATGGAGCAAGAGGAACCCAGTAAGTAAGTTCTAGTTGCCACACTTGAAGCACCACTTGTGTCTGCTTTAAATATTGGGATGTGGATAAAACTTCATTTGAATAAAAACAATTTGCTGCTTACATAAAAAGTTTGAAAGTCACTGCTCTCTTTGTTTAAGGTCAAATTTTTAAAAATCAATATTTATGAAGTTCTATAAATACATTCTATAATACTATTCACATAACATATAAAGGTTAAAATTTTCTAGTCCTTAGATTGTTTAGAATATAAATTCAGATGGAGCTCAATGATAGAGCACTTAGCTAACAAGCACAAGGCTGTGGGTTAGATCCCCAGCACTGCAAAAATAGTATACACACACACACACATACACACATATATGTATGTGCATATAAATACATATATATGCGTACACACACACACATACACACACACACACTCATACAAATTTGGTACTGCAGGGCATAAATGCTATTTTTGTTTTGATTGAGGTTTTCTTTTGTTTTCTGGTGCCAGGGATTGAGCCCAGGGCCTCATTCATGTTAAGCACATGCTCAACCACTGACCTATACTCCAGTCCTCTGTTTTTCTGAATGTGACTCCTATTCCTCCACAAGAGGTAGGAAACATCCTCAGGATGACTTTACTAATGACCACACCATTGCCATGGCCTATGACCTACAGTTTCAGCACTCATCATCTGCAGCACTTTTTCCTTTCAGGCCTCGCTTCAGGCACACTGCCTCCTTGCTCTGCTTTAAGCAATCCAAGCAAGCTCCTCCCAGGACCTTTGCAAGGAAAGTTCTCCCTGACAGAAATGCTCTTACTACACATAGATACAGGGCTCCCATCTTCCCTTCTCCAGGTCTTGGTTTCAGTGCTTTCAGTGGACTTCACTGACCACCTCTACTCCATCCAAAACAGCACCATTCCTCACGTCAGTAACTATTCCCTCACACGCTTTCCTGCTTTTTTGTTGTTGTTATTGTATTTATTATCACAAGTCACATTACATATTTTTGAATTTGCTTTTTCTATTACTTGCCCAACCAGCATATAATATCCAAAAGAATCAATATTTTGCCTTCCTGCCCCTCTGTGTGATCTTAGATCTGGAATAGAGGCTAGCACACTCTTGTTGCTCCATTACAATAAATAATGAATTAATTTTCAAAAAACATAGTGTATATATCTTTATAAAAATCTAATAATTAGAGATTTACTCATTTATGAAATGCAATCATATTAGAACATTTCCTTTGAAGACAGTACCTCTTATATGATGCATGATTTCATACATCATCACACTGAAATCCTCTAACAACTTTATTAAGAGCAATGTGCATGGTTTCTCAGTTGCCCCTACCTTACTTTTCCCTTTTCCCTGTGACTACATCTATGAACATTTCATCCTACTAACTCCCATACTAAACCTGGCCCAGGTTCTCACCTACATTTTAGTACCACATCTCTTGACCCATGCAATAGTGTCACCACTTATCAAAATATCTTTAAGTGAATTACTGAATTTCTTCACAAACTGACCACGTTCCCTAATTATCCCACTTCAATTAGTAAAACCATCATTCTTATAACGTCTTTAGGTAGCAGACTTGAACTGTATCTCTGCTTTGTCCCCAATATTAAACCTATCATCAAGTATTCTCTCTTCTTTCTTTGAAATGTCTGTTTGGTGCTCTCATATTTTAGGATAATAAGGGCTATTTATTTCTCATTCCAGTTTCTTCTTGTTTTTGCCATTTCTTTACATTTCTTTTCCTCTCTTTCCATAAAATTCCATTTAGCTTGTGGATCTTCCCTAATATCACCCCTTCTGAATTTTTCCCTTTGGATACTTGGTAACAATTTCAGTTTGGAAATTGCTTCTTTAATTGTTTCATTTACATCAATTTTACTTCCTCAGCTAGATTGCCTGTCTTACAGAGGAAAGATAAAGTATCATACTTTAATTAGTTCTACTACTGTAGTATGGCATCATGGTTGACACACAGAAAATGCAATTAAGGAAAACATTTTTATTTTCCTTAATATTTAACATATGAATATAAAAACTTTTTCCCTGAACTAAAAGGAAAATGCAGAAAAATACTACCAGATAGTGAAGAATTAACTTCATCTAACTTCAAGAAATTCATAAGGTTTCTATCATTTACATAATTTCATATAAAATTTTAAATAAATTTGAAAAGTTGCATGCATATAACCTCAAAATTCTTTGTTGAGAAGCTACCAAGATGATTAACAATTGCTGAAATTGGATGATGGGTGATAAGGGACTTTTATACTATTCTTTCTACTTTGGAATGTTTAAAATCTTCAATCATAAAATGTTAAAGGTGAGAGAGAGGGGCACACTATAAAGAAATCAAAAATATACATATTAGTAAACCAATAATACACTATACAGAATAACAAGAAATGGATCAACAGTGCTGACTATTTGTTTAAAGAATAAACTTTAACACAAGCATGCTATGCTGTATTCGCAATTATCTATGTCTGGCCTTTTAGAAAAGAGCTACATTATCTATGAACCAGGCACAGTTCTTACCACTTTTATATTTATACAAATGTTCCCACTGAAACTTAAGAATGGATTTGAAAGTATTAGTTACTCTCCAATATTTAATAATCCCATTTTTTTAAAGAAATGAACATTTCAGAATCTAAACCCCTAAAGTCAGAAAACTACAATAAAAGAAAATAGCATGAATTCACGACTTACAGTCTTAACATCATTTTCATGATGAAAGATATATTCAAACAAATCCTATAGAGAAAAAAAATGACAAAAACACATTAGATTGTATTTAAATAAAAGCACTCTTTGGTTATAACAAAACTCAAATATAGATTGAACCAAAAATCCAGAACACTCTAAAGTGCCTGGGATTTATAAGTAAAGGATCTAGCCATCATTTGTTAGAATCTACCATTTTACAAGTTTTCTATTTGCAAGTGATTCCTGTTCCTACAGACTACAAACTAGAAAAAGCTCAAAAAATTGATCTTTTTTTCTTGCATATTTCACATACTATTTTATTAGAAAGATGCAAATGAAAAGTTCATTTTATTTCTTAGACTAAAGTTAGGATTGCAATAAAACAGTTTTTTATACTCTCTATCTTATCTTATGTGACTAGATAATGGCAATTTAGAGATGGAAAATCTGGAAGTTCCTTCTGAAACAAAGTAGAAATGAGTGCAAAGTAAGGGCTTTTTCAAATTAATTTTTAAAACTATACTTACATGGCATTTATAGTAACTGTGTGACTCAAAACACTCAGTTTCTTTAACAGAGAGCTACTCAGCCTAACTGCACACTGGAATTACATGGAGGTCCCAGAGCAGACCAATTCACTCAAACTCTGGGAGGTCCATATAGCCACTATTTTATACTTGCAAGGAGACTAGTGCCCCTAAGAGATATCAAGGTTATTAACAGAAAAAACTTGGAGGCCAATAAAAAGAAAGAAAGAAATCAGGACAAGGCCCTTCTAAAAAAAAAAAAAAATCATAACAATCCTTGCATTTGTTCTCTTACAAATACAAACAAAAATTAAGAGTGTAGTTGATACTACCACTGTCATGAAAAGAAGGTTACAACTCTCAAAACTGTCAAAGCATCACTGTAGATATCCCAAGAAATGCACTAATATTAGAAAGGAGTCCTGATGAGCCAAGGCAAGTTGGGGACCAAAAACAGAAAAATGTGGCATTATTTCTGTGATACACTAAAACAAAGCACAAACTCTAGTTCAGGTTGAATTTAGCACTTAGGCCAGGTCTATCCCCATGCATCTTAATTTAATTGTGGGAAATGCCTCCACTGACTGTACTAGCTAGCCAGTCACCTCAAGCAAATGGATGAACAAGGTAGGGAAATAGATATTCTACATGATATGTTTTTAACACTCCACCCTCATTAAGGAGAGGAAAATAAGTAAAGCTTTACCATTCTGCCAAATGTAGTTGACTAGACTGCCAACTAACAAGAATTGAAGAAAAAAAATCATGAGACTTTATATTATAGGTTGATTACCTGTCTACCTGTCTACCAAAGGCATTTCTTTTTAGAATGGAAACTTCAAATCTATACAATTAGTGTCCATTTTTATTTACCCAAGGACATTTGATACTTGGGAAATATGTTCAACACCCTCAGAACTGGGATCAGGAATGAGTGCATCACTGCACACAGAGTTCAGAGACTTCAAGCTAAAAACTGGGCCAGGCATCAAGCACTCCTGTCTCCAAATTATTCCAAGCCCAACCCCAAATGTTTTACACTGGAAAGTCACACACATTTTCACTTTCTTTCTCTTTTTCATTTTTTTTCTTTTTTCTCTTTCTCTCTCCTTTACACTCCCCTCTCCCTCCCACTCTTACCTTCTATCCCTCTTCTTCTAATTTTCTTTTTCAAGGAATATTTTATCTCTGAGTAATTAGAATTACAACACAGGTGACTTGCCCACTGTCTGGCTTGAGTAATCTTTATTGATATGCCTGATTCATTGCTAATTAAAAGTACATATTTGTATTATCCTTTTGAAAGCCTTATAATCCTACAAAGAGAAAATCATTTTTCTGAGAATGGTCCAAGATGTAACATACACACACACACACACACTCACATACACACACACACTCTCTCACACACACACACACACACACACACACGCAAATTCTAAGCTTCATCCTATGATGAAATACTGCATATCTGCTTTCTTTGTTAAAAATTACTGTTCTTTATTATTTGTAAAAAAAAGAATTTTCTATAATAATGGTATATTTTTTTCTGGTTGACTTTCCTTAAGACTGAGAGAATTTTTACATATTATAGTAATTGAACGTTTCTATTTCAATCAAATTGTGGCCTTTCCTTCACAAATTTTTATCTATTTCCTACACTGTCATTATCATCATACTTCTAACATTATCTTATAATTTACAATCATTTTAAGTACATACCTTTGCCAATTTAGGTTTCTGGGAATATTTTGTTAAGTTCAGTCTAGATAAATTTATAAAAGGTCCATCAGGACTTGTAAGCATGGAAGCCTATGAGGGAGGAAAAAAAAAATGATAGAAGAAGAAATCTGAAATCTTTTCTTGAAATAAAAATTGTCTTTAATGTGCCTAAAAATTATAAAGGCAACATAAGCACAAAGAATCCCTTTCAAAATTTCCATACAATTTTTTTTGTAAGAATAGTAGAAAATAATATAATAAAGTTACTTGGGTAATACTATGGGAAAGCTGACAGAACTTACTGTCCCCAGCCTGATGTATCTTCCAGATGAGCTGGTGATGGGACGTGCTGTATAGGCAGTTCTGGGTGTTCTGATGGCCTGTTCCATGGTACCAGGCCTTCCACTCTGTGTGTTGGGCCTAAGGAAACCTGTAATGGGCCTTCCAGCTTGAGTAATTGGCCTGTAAAAATTGTAAGTTATTAAAATACAAAGATGATTGATTAAGGAAAGATTCTCAAATAGTATAGTCAATCATTAGTGGCAGAGGGTATGACACAGAAGTACATACCTGACAGCTTGACTAGGCCCTCCTGTCTGATTAGTTCTAGGGAGTTTCAAAGATGTTCCAGGGCCTAGGGAATGAGATGGCAAATTCAATTTATATATTATCTATTAATCTATAAAAACTGTCAGCTAATCTAATTTTCAGAATTGTGCTGTCCTGGTGAAAAAAGACATTATTGGCAGAAAACGTATTTTAGAGAAATGAGTTTGAGATTAATATCCAATGAGTATCTTTCATATTACTTATGCTATCACATTAACTCTTCACATTAAGTCTGTAAGGTAGGTAATACGAATCCATCCATTCAATAAAGGTTGACAGAATTAAGTAAACAGGTCAACCCATTAGTAGAGCCTGGATTAAAATTCAAGACTAGCAGGCTCCAAAGTTCAAAATGATGGTCCTATACTCACAGATTAATTATCTTTCATACAAACGTCTCTCAGTAAAAGATCGTTTACCAACCACATCTAGAATTTAGGTATTTTAAGTCTAAAATATTAAAGTAATGGGGAAGAAAGACGTTTTAACATGAAACATGTTTTTTTTCCCCCAACTTCCTTTTGGAGCTTTAAAATAGTTCTTATCTTCTAAATTACAACTGTGAACTGTAACAACTAGTAAATTACCAGCAAGACCACCATAGTCATGGTAATTATCCAATACCATTTGCACTACTTACACCTGCAAGCTGGGGACTGGGCCCTGTGACAATTCCAACAGACATTTACTGCCCAACAAACATATAATCTCATCAACTCACATCATGTATCAGAGCAAATCATCTTTCATTATAACAAAGAAGTGATGCTTTTAAGTGATTGTTTTCAAAAAAATTATTTTAGAACACTTCTGTTATTTGGAAGCTTAGATTCCCAGATAAACAATCTTCTGATATGTTGATAAACACTTTAAGGAGAACATATTTTATAACATCTTAAAATGCATAAAATAGCTTTTACTGGAAAATTATTATACATCAATCTTACACCTTAAGATATAACTGAATAGTGGAAGGAAAGCCTTTGTTTTATAAGATAGAACAGAAACCCTGTACTTAATTTTTTCATACACACACACACACACATATATGCTTCATGTATACAATGTTTATATACAGACAGGTTGACATAAAGCATAGAAATATGTATGCATGTCATCCTGTATATATGTAATATTCCTCCTAATAGTGTTCCATTAATTTGACCAGAGAACCAATACTTACGGGGAACTCGGGCAATAGCATTTTCATCCAGAAGCATTTCTGCAATTCCTTCCCGATCTATATCAATTTCATCTATGTATACCATTTCAGTTAAGGCTCGTGCTTTTAAAATCCAAGCTGCCTAAAAACCATGGAAAAATAAAATATGGATTAAAATAGCATTAGAAATACTAGATAGCCTACAGAAGCTAGCCATGAGTTAGTACTATTTTACTTTTTATTGAACATGTTTACCATTTAACACATTATGCTAATTTAAAGGGCTATCTCAAAAAACTAATGAAAGAAGGCAAGGTCATTATTAACCAAGAAACCACTAGTATGTCAATTAACTCACAAATAGTCTCCTAACATTTCTTTTTATAAGTAAAGAAAGATCCTTAAAAAAGTTTTATAGAATAATAACTTGAGTACAAATTAATAAAGCTACAACCCACTGTGCTCTTTCTGCCTTCCTCTTTCAAGGCCAAGACTTTCCTGAAGCCTCCCCTAATTCTACAACTTAAACCCATAGTCCTCTTGTCTTTCTCAAAATCTTCTTTGAACACCTCTAGTCTGGTGAATGTACTGTATTTGACTACAATTATCTGGGCATATGCTTATCCTTTTTTATATTCTCAGAATGCAAGTTTTTTTACCTTTTCACTTCTGAGTTTTCCATAGTACCTATCCCATGGTTTTTGTATACAATAGGTATTCGAGAAATATTGGTTTGAATTAAGCCAAGATCAATTTCTCTTGATTTCTAATAACTAATCAACCCTGGTAATTTTGTAATCTAGTCAGCAGAAAACCTGCTAGTGTGGGGGTGAATACATGGAAAAGGTAATTAAGGAATCTGACCTAGAAAATATCTTATCTGCTCTGCATTAGTTTGAGAAATTCAGTTCCCATTAAACATACAAAACTGCTTTACCAGAAACCATACCTTCTTGCTTCACTAGAGAAGTAGTGAAAGATAAGGTAGGCGTCCCATGGAGAACTCCCAAAGGAAGAAGGCAACTCTTGAAGCTGCAGCACAGACCTGACTCTAGAATCTAGCGAGAGCAGCAGCAAGGGACATTTGGGAAGGGATGAGGGCTAAATATTCTAGGGATCTGGCTGTGAAGGACAGTGAATGAAGGCAAAGGAGCCAAGATAGGACAGTTGAAAGCTACAGAAGGTCCAAAAATTCCTTGCATAAAAAACCCAACATGGATCCTAATTTTCCTGAACGTATCATCTAGTGGATTGAACAGCAGAGCAAAGCAGTGCTTGACAGTGCCAAATGTGTGATAGAGGAAATAGATTTTACAGAAATTGGAGAGTGGTGACCCTTGTGAACTAAAGTTATGTGAATACACATATCAACATTTTTTAAAAGAAAGTAAAAATGCTATGCTTTCATTTTAATGGGAATAAAAAAGGCTGTCTTCACAATACATTTCAGTTCCTAAAGTTAAATTACATTTGGTTAGATGACTGACTTGGGGGGTTATGCTTTTCTGGATGTGATTTGCTGATTATCAAATAACTTTTAACAAAATGTGGCAAATGTTTTGTGTGAATTTTATACAATTGAATAAATAGTACATGGACTCAAAGAACCAATTTGTTCTTTTAAAAATTAATTTCAATTGGATCTGCCTCTAGCTGTGTGAGCCACCAAAGATAAAAATGATCTGAGGTTTTCACTCATAAAAGATCAGGAAAAATGCCAGATCTTATATAGTTATTCCCAGGGGCCAGGGAAGTACTTCCATCACTGGCTTGAACTAATGGTTTAATTTTACTTCAAAGATGGAAATAAGCCATTCTGATTTATCTTAAAACTCCACAGTAGCTGCCCTGAAAGTATCTGATAGCTTAAAATTTTCAAAAGGATATCCTTTGGTCAGGACTCTGGTGGACAGGAAGAAGGACTGCAATACTTTCTGTTGAAACAATAAAGTAGGACATGGACTCTGCTGGTTTTCATGAATACCTACTTTAGGGCCATGTCTGGGAATACAAAGAAGAAGTCATAGTTCTAGTTTTAGCTCCAAAGAATTCCAGTGTAATGGGAAGATGCAATAATAAAAATAAAAACTAAAAAGAAATATACCATGGAAGGAGAGAGGAAAGACTCCTAGCGGCCTGAAGGCAGACCGAAGTGTATAAGAGGAAGAGTGTGGAGCTGTGGCCAGGAAAAGAAGCCACGAGATCAAAGGCAGGCTAGTTCCGGAGCTAATGTGTTTGCAAACTCTTCAAGAATAGAGTATGGTTGAAGAATCAGGCTGCACAAAAGGAACAGTCAGGGAACAAGGCTGGAGCAAAAAGCAGAGGCCAGATGATGACTATATGGCACATCAAGTTATAGGGTTTTCTATCCTGATGAGGAGCTAATGAAGCTCTCAAACTATGATTTAGAGTCCTAGTTAAATCAGCTCTTTAAAAGCCAAGTTTTTATAATTAGGTATCATTTATACAGTCAGTTATTAGTCACCCAAGCACATACTTTATTTTGAACTATTTTAATGTTTGCACTGTTATCTCATAGTCTATTCTACCATACTTCTTACATCCACGCCCCTCTTAATATTCAAGAGATGCACATTTTTATATTAAGCTAAAAGTGAATAATAGAAAAGCAAATCCACTATTCCTTCCCCATCAAATGAATAAATACTTTAGAATTCAAACAAAAACATCTTGTTCTATTCTCAGAGTTCTATTCACTTTTTCAAAAATAAAATAGATTTATATTTGTTTCAATTTTTAAAATCTAATTCTTAAGAAATGAATCTAATAATGTGAATTTTTTTTAATTTAAATATCTGTAATAAATCTTTAAAATTTTATCAGTTTGAGAAAAACTAATCTTCCTGATTATTCTTCTGTCCTACCAAAAACTGACCTCGAAAATCACATATCACTGCTTGATTAAATATCAAGACTACATTCAAAGAACTACGCCTGGCAATATGAACTATTTTTGAGGTTTTAATAAAAACAGCAGATGGGGTTTTAGCTTTAAAAAATAATAATTTTTTTATGTTGGAAATAAGCCAAGTATGTTTTACAGCCCCAAATCCTCTGCCTGTTTTTTTTAAAGAATAATAAAGCACACACAGTAATCTCAAATTGCCCCTTGAATCTGAATAAAACTATACATTTCTTTTATTAGCTATGCTTAAAACATTAATAAATGGTAGCATCATGCAACTAAAAATAGTCATTTATGTAAATATAGTTGCATATTTATGTACTAGAAATATTAAAAAATCAAAAGTTTCTCCCAATCTACATGAATAATCATATCAATTATTTCCCTTATGTCTGTAAAAAACAATCCCATTTCATTCACTTACTGAGCTAAGTCTGTAGGACATTACTTTTTTTTTTTTAGAGAGAGAGAGAATTTTTTAATATTTATTTTTTAGTTTTCGGTAGACACAACATCTTTATTTTATTTTTATGTGGTGCTGAGGATCAAACCCAGCGCCCCGCACATGCCAGGCGAGCGCGTTACTGCTTGAGCCACGTCCCCAGCCCCAAGGACAATACTCTTGAGGCATATTCCTGCCAGCTAACATCAGGAAATATATTAACTTACTGGTTCTATCTATTGTGAGGGTAATCATATTTTTTAAAAAAATATTTTTTAGTTGTTGATGGACCTTTATGTTATTTATTTATATGTGGTGCTGAGAACCAAACCCAGTGCCTCACACATGCTAGGCAAGCACTCTTCCATGGAGCTACAACTCCAGGCCCCGGTAATCAGATTTTAGTTATGAAAATAAACATGAAGAGGTCGAAACTACAGGCTGAGCAAAATGCTTTATTCTGTTTCTTTTTATACAGCATACAAGACAGGGAGTTTTAAGGTATGTAAGAGATAATTTTGATAGATTATTATTAAATAAGTATATGAAACAAATATTATCTCTGATCTATTCAGATATCATATAAATCAGTAGTAATATTTTACACTCTGCTTACTCTATGCAAACAAAACTTTAGGCACAAGATTTTGAAGTGATATTGTAAAGCCTCATTTCTTTTCAAGTTGTAAACATATGCAAAAAAGAAAAAACATTTTAAGTGTGAATAGTAAGGTCAAAAAAATCCAGCCAGCCTTGTTCCCTTTTAGATCATTATCCAGTGGATAATTAAGTCTACAGGAAAAGACCAGGAAGAGAAATTTAGGTGCTACATGAAGCCTATGTGCCACTTAGAAACTTTTAAATGCCATTTACAGTGTTCCAGTCATACCTACAATGCATATTGTTGGTGTTTCATTTTAATTTTAATCAAAATCTTACAAAATTATTGAAGACAAAAACTTTGTCTTTTCATAATTTAGATCCTTCTTGAATAACTTGTATCATGGAAAAAAAAAAAACAAGTTTCCCCCAAGCATCAGTTTGTAAACCAAGATTATGAACATACAAAAGACAAATGTCATCCTTTCAAAGAACAGAGTGCTACATTTTAACCTACTTAACCTACTTACAGTGTTTAGTACTATACAAACCTCCATGAGAGTACTTTGTATATTTGCTGTTCTAAAAGGCTTGGTCATTACTCATGTGAACTTCAGATGAGGCTCAAATCCCTTATTTACTTCTAACACACTGGGAGCATTCTCTCTCACTTGGCAGGGCAAACACCTGGCAACATTTAAGCCCTTTGATTCGAAGCTCTTCTCCTTTTTCCCAGACTCACTGGGAACCCATGTGGATAAGAGCATGGATTGGCAGGGGGCCCCACACCAGACTTCTTCTCCCAGAGTTTCCTCCTGATTCCCTGTCTTGTCCAGTTAGCAGGTCTCTCTGGCTAAATCTAACCACGTTGGTTTGGTCAACCTGGCTGTCTGGCCATTGTCCCTTCCTTCCTTTCTCACTGTGGCAGCTTCCTCCCTCCTAGAGCCATCAGGTCAGTTAAGACTCAGACCTTCCAGGCAGAGCTGGCCCACTCTCTTTAAGACCTACTGTCCTAACCATAATGTCTTTCCTGACACTTGTGGTGGTGCTGACTCCAGGTCCCTACGCCCATGCCTCCCCTTGCTTCAGTCTTTATTTTTTTCATCCTCTGTTCAATCTTGACACTTCTATTTAAGCCCTAAATCTTAATGAATAGAGCACATTAGTTCTACAA